CAATCAATTTATTTACTTACATTAAAATAAAAATAAACAATATTGCATATTTTATGACTTCAATTACTGTAGGTAAGATAAGTCTAAGGTCATTAAGTAACATTTTCTAAAACGACAGGGCAAGTGCTTTGTTTTGAACCATAATACCCTTACTCTCAAAATTCTGGATACGCCACTGACTTTCGGCGAGGATGTTGCCAATTACTGATAAACCCTTCGTAACAAAGGGTTTATTAGTAACTGAAGGGGTAATCGCAGGCAGGTTTTACCATAATAATAACAAAAAATATGCTTTAAATGATAAACTGTTATCTGGATTATAATAATTTGAAAGTGATGCTCAATGCGAACAGTCCTATAAACAAAAGCTTATAAATGTCGATCTTCAATATTGAGAATTTAAATTTACGAGTATAATAGAATACAGGTTACAGTATAAATGTAATAAAAACCAACGGGAAGAAAAATGTTGATAGAAAAACAAGATATCAAAACGCAAAATGTATTTTTTTAAAATAGGCGATAAAATAGACACGGTGAAGTAATTCTTTAAATTACAGGTTTGTTAGAAGTTCACTTGACTTGAAATATAGATATAATATGATAAATCATATTATATCAGGCATCTATCAGTTTTTAAGGACGAATTAATACAGGGGTACTAATAGAAGTTTAGTAAATCAATTTATGTAATATCAAGTTCATAAACGAAGAAAAAAGAAAATGTAATCGACCGTCACGTCAGACGAAAGAATATAGGGGACCCTGGAGACCATAGTTCCGGGATATGTGATCGCTCTCCACGGTCCTGTCTTCCATTTAACTGTTTTAAAAGCTAATGAAAGAAACGAATGATTTAAAATGTGAGGTAACTAAGACAATTGAGTAATTTTTATTCTCCGAAAAACGGCTGGCTCCTCGAATATGCTTTGAGCAGCACCCATATTCTCATAATCCTGGATGAACTAAGCTACTTCATTTTATCTAACGTTATGAAATATGTAAATAATACTGGACAATCCAAAACGATCCAGAAAGAACTGGAAGCTAATGTGGCTATTTTAAATTGTTTAAATTTAATAAAAAGAGAACATAGATTTATAATTCGCAATAACAGTAAAACGAAACAGTTTAATAAATTTCGTCGCCTCGTTAAAGTATTGAAGATAATGGCGAGAGATTTTGCACGCAGTTTTGGAACGAATAATATTGGTTTTCTTTTAATATTGTTTGATAGAAGACTGATTTTACGTAATCAAATATTAAGTTTCTTAAAGCGATTTCAAGAAAAAAGCTCCGTACATTTCTGAGGTGGGTAACACCAAAAAATTACTTTATATTTATTTAACAATTTGTTAATTTATTGCAAATGTAAGTTTGTGCTGATGGTACAGAATGATGATTTGATTAAAACATTTTATATTTATATCGAGAGTTATTTTATAGGTAAGGTGGTTCGAAAACAGAAATGATCCCGATGATTATTATTCAAAATAGAGGAAACGAATTTTTTCGTAAGAGTAATTCCATCTCCTGTACCTCTACGTACTTCTACTCTTAAGTTTTTCTTATTGAACTTGTAAAAATACGTTCCAAAATTTTTTATATGTTTACATCAATTTATGTCCTGGTATTCGTTTGTTTTCATGTTTTATTATTTTTTTTTAATATCGTGTTATGTTTTATTTGGACGATTATCATTGCTGTCATCGATAACTCTTCTTTTGTGCATTTCATTTGTTTGTAGAGTTAAAGACGAATGTAATGTTCTCTCTTTGTGCTCTTACAATGTTTCGAGTTGTCTCGAAAAAATTGCTGGTAACTCAATTGAATGCTAATGTTATAAAAATATATATCATATGAATCAGATTAATTGTTTGCTTTTCCGTGAATGGTAAAAGTGCTACCTTTAGAAGGGATATTTCTACTTGATATGTCCACTTGTTTTTCGATGGATGTCTATGAAATAATTCAGATAATAATTCCGTAATTTTGTCCGCATATATGTTTATCCATTTGCTATAAGAAATAGGATTTTAAAATTATTATTATATGTATATATATTTATTCTTATATTTAAATCTTCTATTACTCTTTCTGTTATAGATTTTTGACTATTGGATATTTTTTCCGGACAGTAAATAAGAAGAATAATATTTGGCATGGTACGTTATATTGTAAAAGAGGTTTCCTATGCGTGGAAAAATTTAGATTCAATTAATTATTGTAATTCTGCCAGTATGATGCTGGAATGAAATGGCCAAGAAATATAACAGTCTGTGAAAGTTTTATATAAATTGTTCATACTAATTAGATGAAATGTCTTTTATGTCAGTGACAAAAACGACTTCTTCTAAACATACAAAGAAAATAATAAAATTATTTCTGCTTTCTTCTGGAAGCTAATTATTAAAACAATCATACTTGATGCCAGGAATAAAGAGCGACAATAGTATTTTTCAAAATAATATCTAGGGAAATCATTGCCAAATAGAACAGAAATAGCAGAATGTGCTGTAGTAATGAAAAGTGACGATCCTTATCATATGCTATCGTCACGGTTGAATCTTTCCTCTCAGTACATATACATTACTTTCATACAGCAAAAACGTCACCAGAAATGAAACCAACAAAACGTTAATTATAAACTTTATCAGTTTGGAAATGTACAGACATATTTGACACACTGGAAGCTCATTGGAGACTGACTATTTTGAAACGCACCGTGTTAACAGCCGGTTTTTTTTACATTGTGTTAAGAAATCAGATTTGCCGAATGCCGAATTTATAACATTTTTTTCATAAAAGAGAAGTACAAAGAATGTTTAGACTTTCATGCATGAAGTGTACGTAAAGAAATAAATAAATAAGTTAAATTGTCAAAAAATATAAATGTGTTTTAAATGTGCATATATATTTCATTTTTGTCTCTTTCTGTCCTACAGGCACTAAGACGATGTTTTTAATCATACCCGTCATGAATTTGTCCAAGCCTTCAACAGGTGTTAAGGGATGGGGCTCGACATATCCGGGACAGACTACCTACGAAAACTCCTACGGGTCCTCGCTCTGATTCCATCCGAGTTCTCCAAAACGATAGACTGACGCTTGATTCGACTCGATCATCCGGCCGTTTATCTCTTAAAATGATTCAAAAGAATATATATCAAACGTTACTTTAACAAATTTTTGAGTAGTATTTTAGTATCTCCTCGAAAACGAATAATTCTCGATATATTCACATCCAGCCGAATTTTTTCTGGACTGTTATAGTAGAGATAGTATTATACCAACGATACAGATGCCACAGACAGAAGAACGCTGGAGAAAAGGTCCCGGAATGTAAGAAAATGTTCTATTGCAGAACATCGTTTGATTGTTTTTATAAGAAAATCTATTTTTATGTTAAAAGTTGATCTTGTTTATCGTCTATTTCATTTCTTAATCGAATTGAACCTTCGATTATTTTACTCATTGTATTTTACATATGAACGATTATGTAATATGATGCTAACATTATTATATTTTACTAGTAATTCTTTTTCTTTTGAACAAGCTTTTAAAAATAGAATATCTAACAAATTCCTAATGTGATAAGAAGAAATTACAATTGCGAGGATCCTTTAAAAATGAAATAAGAATCTCCATCGATTTACACGCAGACTATTCATCAATCGAATGTGATCAATCGATTTCAATCCAACATCTGCATTCATCAGTTCAAAGATGTAATATTCTCTTATTTCAATCATTCAGGAATATACAATAATAAATAAAGGCGGAGAAAGGACTGATGACTCTCTACCAAAACAATAATAAAGAGAAGAAAATTCTGAAATGCGATGAAATAATTTTATAATTATTCGAATTATCCGAGAAAAATGTGTAAAAAGTTAATTTATTATAAAATAAAACAATTGCTCTTCGGTGACTCCAAAATGACCGACGGTCTTCAGTGGTACGGTTTTACAGTCCTGAATTTTCGTTTCCATTAATTACCATCGCAGATGTTTGTATGACCACGATCAAACATCGGTCGTTTGATTGCGGTAGATTATTCGGGCTTTCTCCCTTTGTAAAGGTATGTCTTTATTTTCTTTTCGTACTCGTTCGGACGTTTCATTTTTGATCGACCATTTTGGGGTATCGCTTCTCGGAATGAAATTTTTTAAAATCGCTATATTTCTGTGCAACTCATACACATTCAATTTACGGTTGTAACTCTCAGGCGTTTGATCAGCAGCATGTTTCGAGTAACATCAAATTGGATTTGAAGACTTTAGGATCGATTGCTTCAATTATTTCGGAGATGTATTTGAATAGCCTTGGGAAGAACGTGTTTCCCTTAAATCAGATCGAATTTGAAATAATTTTTCTATAGTATCTTAATTGGAACGTAATGTTGAGCTGTTATTCTTCCAAGACAAATATTTTCTGTGTGTTTTTTTATAATATACATACACGTCATTTAATGCCATCTATTCCATTAAATGTCGATTTTCTGTATTTTCCACTTTAAAATACCGTACATCACGTCACATGTTTAACACGTAAAAAGATTTTCTAGTTTTCTTTTTTCGAATTCTGAAAGCACGGTTTTTTCCCTAAATATTTATTAATTTTTTTTACTAATGAGGTAATTGGATACGTTTGTTTATTCAATTATCTCTCTGTGTTTAATATTATTGCTGTCTTATATGTTATAATCTAGAAATGACGTATGATGTATCTATGATTTGTGCTTTTTTGATACTATGTTATTAATTATTTCGATTAAAGTTAAAACGTATTTTTTATTTGAAATTCTAGCCTTTTTAAAAAATAACAAATATCGATTAAAGTTTGTTTTACCTAAAAGGGAACTATGTAAAATTAAATGACATGTTAAACTAAATAATGCAGCGATTGAATATAAATTTTTCTATTCTGTTTAAAAATTTAGAAAAGTTTGTTTAGTTTCTATATATATCATATAATAATTATTTATATTATTTTTGCAGTCTTGCTCGTTCCTGACCGATTTGAAAGATGTAATTATAGATATGTTCGATCTGTCTATCTTCAAAAATCTACGCTACACTATATTTTGCATTTCGAACTTTCTTTTGTATGCCTGCGTGGACGTTCCTTACGTTTATCTTCCGGATAATGCCATCAACCACGGAGTAGACAAGGAAGCTGCTTCCTTTTTAATTTCCATATTGGGAATTCTCAATACGGGAGGTGTGGTGAGTGTACTTTTATAAAACTTAAGTCTTTAAAGTGACGAAGTAATGTTCCTTTATCATATAGGTTATGGTAGGATACATCGGCGACAAATCGTGGATAGATTCTTCCGTGCTGTATAGCGCTTTCATTGCTATAAGTGGAATAGTCATGGGAGCAATTCCATTGCTAATTGATTACTACGGTACGGCATCGTTGGTAGCTATTTACGGATTTACCATCAGCGCAAATTACACTTTAGTTTCCGTTATTGTCGTCAATCTCATTTCTCTCGACTGCTTTACCAATGCTTATGGACTCTTGCTTCTAGTTCAAGGAGTGGCCAGTTTAGTCGGACCTCCACTAGCAGGTATTGTGTTTATTCTACTTATAATAATTCAGTTAAATTTGGATAACATCAAATTTATTCATCGATAATCGTGATTGCAACAAAAATGCCGGTTTTTTATATTTAAAACTGTACACTTTTTGAATACTTTATTTATTAATTTAATGATTTCTGAAAATGTTTTAATAAATCCCAAATATATTAGACGAATGCTTCGGTTTTATAATTACAGGAGAGAGGTTCATTGTATGTGTAGACGTAAACAGCTACTTTTACCAATACCGAATGACCAATATGTGATCGATATGAAAGACCGAGTTAATCGGGAGCTCGGAGGCTAAATTTTAATATGGTTTCTATGTAGACCTACACGATTTATTTTGTATTATTGAGTGAAGTTTCTAATAAGCACTGTATAATTTTTTTTAATCTCAATAAATTTCAAATAATGTCATACTTTAATTGTATGCATAGTTTAAAAATAAAGTTGATAAAATGATTCTGAAGCGAGACAGTAAATGAAATTACTTCAGAAATCTGACATTTGATAAACTATATCTTACGAATTGAAGAAAATAGTAGGCCTATTTTGTGTAGAAATAGTGAATAGCTTCTATTCTTTGTTTATTTGATTGGGAAGCTTTTATTTATTTATTTAGTGTAAAACGACTAAAAGCAAACTAAAATTCACAGGAAATTCACTTTTGAGGTAAAACTTATTTTTTACAGTATTCTTATAATGCAATTATCATTTTAATCAAGAATTCGTTGTTTTCTAATGTTTTATTCTTATAACCCTGCTAAATCTAATGGCAGTCTTACTTGAAGTTTTCACTAAAAATCTTTCTACACAGTGAATAAATCCTGTAAGAATAACTGTCACCAGTCTCTTTTATTATATTGAATCGGCTTCTGTGGCAAAAATGAATTATTTGAAAAGCTTACTATCTATTTGCTCTTTTTATCAAAATCGTATTTTTATTAATCTGCTAACTCACATGGTTCAAGAAATAAAATTATGTATATTATATACATAATTTTATTTCTTGAATCATGTGAGTTAGCAGATTAATAAAAAGTATAGAACACAAAGCAATGATCAATATTATTGTTTGTGTTCGAAACAACTTTTCCCAAATATTCGATATTCTATTCACGCGTGAGTGAATTTGAATAGAATGTAACATTTAAAATACTCACACTTTGGTATTTATTTCATTACAATTATTACATTGTATGTTATTATTTAATGCTGTAATGTTTACTATATTTTAGTTATTACATCAAAATTTGATTTTATTTAGCGATGTATCAATGTTTTATTTCACGTTTGTTTTGTTTGAAATGGAACTGTATACCCTATTAAGGAGTGTAAGAAAACTTTCGTTAGTTTTATTCGTTAGTTTTATTAGTTTTAAACGTTTAGAAAACGTTTCGTTAGTTAGTTCTATCTTTGTCATACTTTCAAGTGGATATGGAGACAATTTCTGATAAGCACTGGTTCCTTGCCGGGGCCGTAGTAAACTTGTATAGGGTCCGGGGACACAGTGGGACGAGTTTGCTTCTTAGCAGATCAGTTTAGTCTATTGTTTTCGAACAAATGAAATACATTGAATGTTTCTTTATTAATGAAAAGTAATCTTAAAGATTTTGTTTTCTGTTAGTAAAAATAATGTTAGTTTTATAAGGGATGGGAATCATTGCTTCTATAAGTTTTTTCCAGGCCCGTGGAAAAATTTCCAGCTCTTTTCTCTCGGCTCCGTTCCTTCCTGGAAAATTTTGGGAAACGTTGATGTAGACAATATGAGAAAAATTATATGGCAGCAGAAATCTCCATCTGTCCTTCGTTAATCTCTAGATATGGAAAGCTTAGGGGCCAGAGGCGCCGATTATACCGATTAACTATATACAAACTTCCGGTCTGGACTAAAAGTCACGCGATTTCAACTCAAAACTTTTTCGACAAGAGTTAGATAGATGACCGTCATGACTCGATTGTTATCAGGAGAAGTATGATGTACAGGGACAATACATCGCTAAAAACGAGACTAGATACGAAAAGCTTAGAGGCCGGATAATCCAAGTCCAATAATATATATGAACTTCCAATCTGGACCAGAAATAACGTAACTTTTTAAAATTAAAAGATGATTAAAAATTGCAGCCCTCGCAATGTGACAATATCACAATACATAATTGCTCGTTCTTTGTAGTTATTTTCGCCGAGAAGCTTCTATAATGTAACTGAAGACGTGGATAGTATAGTTTTCTTCACCATATATAGGTAATTAAAATATGATTATAAATTTGTGTTCTAAGAACTAGCATTTATCTTAAAAGATATATTAAATGTACACTTACATAGCGTATTATGTACTAGACTATAGTTTTAAAAATCGATAATCGAATTTACAGGACAGTATTCATTCGGAAGAAAAATACAGAAATTGTGTCTCCTTCTCACACTGAGGTGCCACAGATTATCCAAGATTTAAAGACTATCGAAAGATTTTTCCAGGAATAATGAAGCTATCCATTGTACTCATATTTCTATTCAATGTTCTTGCAGTAACAGATTGCAGAGTTCTTTTTAATAGAAAATCTATTTATTCTGTTAATTGTCTTGTGTGAATGCTATATATTTGTAAAATATATTCGCACGTAATTAAGCACATTATTCAGTAATTATATTTAATATTGTAAATAGCAGTTAATAATTTAAGAATTGTTTATTTCAGATTATTTCTTATAAGAATCGAAAAAACTCATTAAGTTCTGATATTATGTAAATCATTCCAAATTAATTCTTATTTTTGATTATTGACTATATACATGGTTAAAGTATGCATTAAATTATTTAATATTTTAGAGTTAATTTTGAGTCTTTCCATATTAAATTTAATATGAAACAATACCGACAAAAATAACCAGAAAACTACCAGTAATAAAACTGAAATAATCGAATATCTTAACTTTTCTACCGCCTATTTACTAAATCTAGGTCATCAGATTACGCATTAACCTCCTTTACACAATTAAACGTGTTTAAAATTTTATTATTATTGATAAAAGAATTATACAAAAATATACTTTAACCAAAATATTTATTTATTTATATATTAAGGATATTTATAAACTTTTCAGAATTTATTGATAAGAAATTTTCGAAAAACATATTTCATATTTCTGAGGTAATTACTATATTTATTTACAATAAAATAACGAGCAAAAATCATATTTAAAAGCTTTCCATTCTCGCTATTGTTAAAACACTAACTTTTTACCTCTTTCTACAAATAAAGACCGGGGATTTGACACAGCCTCAATGACAAAAAGCACTTTTCTACAATAGTCGCTCAGCAGGGGAATTGCGTTGAAATAAACTTCCAACAGTGACACCGACTTACTTTTCTTCAATTCCCACTGGCAATTATTATTATTATTATTATTTTTTACATTCATAAAACATTTTCGTTTCGCGTAGTGATAATGCATTTAATTTATTTTCATTTTTCGAAGTATTGTATAATAAATAAATTTATTTTCTTCAGTTAACGATACGATAGCATTACATTTAAATTTCTAACTATTATTAGTTAACTCTAAATTATTGGAAATAATCTAAGTATTTGAAAAAAAAATAAATAAATTGCGAACTTTTTTCTTTAAAATGCAGTACATAAATTTATAAGGTATTTACAAATAATGCAATTATTTTCATTTATAATGAATGTAAAGCAAAAAAAAAAAATCAGGAATGTAAGTGCAAATATAGAAATAAGGTGTAATTTTAAATACGTTTTCTTACTAAAAGTATGAAAAAAAGTCATTAATTAATAAAGTGTTTATAAAGAACAATAGAATTCATGTTTTATAAAATTAATTTGTTATTATTAATAAAAATTATTATTATTTTTAATAATAACAAATTAATTTTATAAAACATGGAAACATGGATATGAAATGTCTAATGTGTTTAGATTTCGTATAATAGGAATATTACCATTATTTTAAAATAATTTGTCTCTTTCTAAATGTATTTAATGAATTTCACATTAATTACAGATTATGTGAGACAACAGTATAATAAAGAACATTGTAACTCATTTGAATTTACGGACGAGAGTCAAGCAATCGCATCAAAGTCAAACGATTTTGGTAGCAATAACTGACATTGTTTATTTGTTCATTTATATTGGTTATTTGAACTTGCTGCTATTACTTTTATTTGCCATATCGACACCATCAACAAAGGCCAAAAAACAGTGATACAATGCTAGTACACGCCGAAGCAACAAAGGAATCAAAGACAGACCATTTCATATTTGGAAACGGATGTGTTCTCCATTGGTCTGCATGTTTATACCAAAACTTGAAATAATAGAAGCTTTATATACTTGGACTACAGAATCACAAAAAATCGTAAACGTTAATGTAGAAAAATTTGAAAAAACTGGCCATTTTTCTGATGAGAATATTTTGAAGTATAACTTTCAGAGATCCGTTGTGAACGTTTTCTCAGTTAATTATCTATAATAAAATATCTGAAGCAACTAATGCCAAGTAACTTAGATTATTTAATTCATTTCAAACTATATTCAATGCATCAAATATGAATTGATAACATCCTTTCGATTGATCTACACTTCGAAACAATTCAGTTACTCGTAGAAATCTAGTTGCAGATTAAAAAATTTATTATGAATTTTTAATCTGCAACATTATTGTAGTTATTGATTTTTGTTGCTTTTTTTCTTCGTTATTGGATGAACTTTAACTCAATCGATTAAAATACGAATTGGTTTAATTTCAGGTTGGCTGTTCGATTTGACCGGAAACTACGACGTGACCTTCTATTTGACCGGCATCTGCATTTTTGTGTCGGGAGTGATGGTGGTTCCGGTAGCCAAATCTCGGAAACCGGCACGTTCTTCGAGCTTGTTGAACAATAACGAAGCGTCGGAAGTAAAGGATAGGAAGGAGAAAGTACGATTCGAAGAAGAGAAAAGCCCGGAAAGTATTTGCAATAAAACAATCGCTTCCAGCAGCGAATGCAATGGCTACATAAACAGCTTGTCGGTAGATTTAAACAAAAAATCTCTTGACGAGAAACGAGTACATCTTAAAGATGAAAATTTTATTACCATTCACGAAAATCCACTGAATAGCACAAATATTGTATAAAATGCAATGTAAATATCGACGATTATCGGGAAAATTATACATATATATATTAAGAATTATATATTATATAAATTATATAATTAAACGGCGTGTAAGGGATTTCATCGCATATATTTAAAAGGTGCATTATCAAATTTCTATTTTTTTCGGTAGTGTAATGTTTGAAAATCTGTGTGTATTTTACATTATTCTTAACATTATTTACGAAACGTGTATAGTAAATAGTAGATTAAGATTTCCGTAACGAAAATCGAGGAAATTTTACTAAAATTGAGAATCGATACGTTTGAATTCGACGGGAATTTCTAGATTTCGTTTGTTAGCCATCTTGTTTTGCCGTGATCGACATTTGCTTGCAATTCGTCGACCGGCAAGAAAGAGCGTGGGTTTTTCTGCGTCTAACTAACTCGGAATAGCGACGAATTAATCCCTAGTGAAAAAAATGGAAGAACGTACCAATGGAAAGTTAGGAAAAGTCAAACGTTATTCGATATCAAGATTCTTCAATTTTGTCAAACTCCTCGATTATTTGCTACGTATTTTAAATTACTCGGCTACTTTGTTTCGCACTCAAAACCATTGGTCTCTTAATTAGTTAGATTCCGCTCGATTATTTCATTCGAGCAATAAATTCCGAAAATAATTTAAATGTAACCTGCACAAAACTAATCTCGTACTCTGCCTTAATTGTTCTCGGCTTAGTAGTTCCTTGACGTGTATATAACTTAAGCCGTCTCGTACTTAAAAGAATTGCACAATATATCACTATTTTCTGCATAATAGTCGACAAATAGATCGGCGTTTGGAGAAGAGGAAAAGTAATTTAATTTTTATATAGCGTAGATCCTGTAATATATCCGAATTGTAATTTAATTTTCGTTTTCGTTCTCTGATTTTTTTTTAGCAGAAAAATAGATTTTTATTTCTAGTTGATTGTAAAAACGTGTAATAATTGGATTTGTAATATATTTATGTAAGAGTTTCACTGTGATACGAGCGAGCGGGGAAATGTGCCAAAACGAGCGATTTCGAACATTATGGTCGAGAATAAAGTAGAGAAGAAAAGCGTAGGTTCAATGGACATACCATTGGTGCCTATTATCTTAACGTGTAACTTCGGTAACGTGTTTCTTTCGTTCGATGTTTCTTTCGTCCATTTTAGTCAAGGATTTTGATACCATTATTTCGTGGAATGTTCATTTGTAATTCAAATTTTTTCTCGAGCGACATTAGATGCTTCGCGAATAGCTTCGAACATATTATTTTTATGTGAAGATGGTGACTTCCGTTTTGAAATAAAAATATCCCGAATCTCTGGATATTTTCGAAAATGGTTTTCTTGTAAAAGTAAAGATTACATTTAGAAATAAAGTTAATTTTTTTTTTATTTCAGAATATGGTGTTTTATTACATTCGTAATTTCTTTTTAGCTGATGTAAATACATTAACATTTCTTTGTGTTTTTTTCTACTTCTGATATAGTCTATTGTGGTTTCAACATTTCACTTACTACATTTTCTGCGCCAGAAGTGATTCTATCAGCCTCCAAAGAGCCACAAAGTCATCATCGATCGACTAATATAAGGAAATGAGGACGCGCCAGTTTCCGATCTAATTTTTACCCCATTTATTCTATTGTCGAATTTTGCGAATTTTCCCCATTTATTAAATTGAATCTATGTTATTCTGCTAAATTTTCCGAAAATTTGATCAAGTGAATTTATTTTAGAAAATAGCGTTTAATGGATCGTTGTATTACTTATAGGACAGGTTTTATAGAAATTTAACTTTTGCAGTTGTAAGGCCTCGTGACTGTTGGCCTTCTAAAATGCGTAATAACTGGATTACATTGTTAAACTCATCCAAGATAAGATCATGTGTCTATCCTAAGAGCAGGAAATGCAATGTGATAGCAACAGTTCTATCTATCTATCTATCTAATGCCGATGCCGGATGATCGAGTGGTTACTCTGTCAGCCTACTGATCTGGGGATCCGGAAATTAATCCACACAGGTCGAAAACCCAAGGAGTTTCTCGGCGTTGGAACTTTTGGTTCTCATTCCTCATCAAGTTACCTCCGTACTGTGGACCAAACCTTTTAATCAAGCCCATCGTAGGGAACCCACGATGTGTTTGATTAAAAGATTCTCTCAGTGCCCATGAGGCGGAAAGAGTAAAAAGGAAAAACTATCAAATGCCTCTTTTTGCAAAAATTAGTAATTTTTATAGTACAGATAACATTTTAAAACTTTTTAACTTTATTTCATACGTACAAAACTGTCAATCCTCCTACTGCGTAAAACTTTAATATGCTTTCATAATATTAAATCATTGGAAAAAATGAAAGAAATATATGCTGGAAAGAAAAATCTATAACAACATGTATTTGTGCTTTTAAGGATACTTGTCCACGATTTTTTCTAAATGCGAAGGAATATGGACACTGCTGCTGACAGTGGCGTGCCGTCATTGGAAGCGGTGGATGCGCCGCTTCCCTTGTATTTTCTAAAAAATAAATACATATTAAGTTTAATTATATGAAAATAATCGCACAATATTTTATTATAACCGCATTATGTATCTTATTACAAATTTCTATACTACACGTGAAAAAAAGATAAGATTGCTATTGTATATTCGAGTATTAGTGACGGAGTGGAAGCGCTGTATCGTCAGCATCCAAAAAGCCAGATTCGCGCATGCGCTTTACAGAGCACCAACCTCACCCGGTTTAGCCGGTGGAAGCCTAGGATCTTGGGTGGATGCTACACGTATACCGCATCCAATTCTATCCAGGACCGGTTCCGGGCTGTTAGCCGCCCGCCCGCTAGATATTTGGCCGCCCTCGCCCGATTACGCGAATCACGAGTAGATTTATAACTTAACCCAACCGATAAGAATTTACTGGTATGTTTTTACGATAGTTCTGTATGGTTGACGGGAGTTTTAAAAAATCCATTAAAATATTTGATATTTTTATTCGCTCTGCGATTTTATATTACTCACGGATTTCAATGTTAAACCAGTGATATTACGATTTCGTATGTCCCATCTCTAAGGGGATGTAGAAAAAAACGTGTACAATTCTTGTATAATGTTAAAAATTAACTGTTACTTCGACAGCGTCATTTACAATTAAATTTAATGAATGAGAGAGATGCACCAGGTACAGAAAAAGCTCTAGAATTCATTTTCCTTAAATTTACGATTTATATATCCGTTTGTCATAAAAATTTGTCTTTCCACTTTCTCCCCGAGACTACAAATATTCGAGTATAAAGTAACTGGTTTCGACTTATTTCTACTTAAGAAGTAGTTAAATAATTAAGCGATTAGGGAATTGGGGACATAAACAAAACCCTGACAAAAGAGCCGGAATATTACTTAAACGAAAGCTTAACCGAACCAATCTATAGCCGAGTACAGTGGGGACTGATTTCTTCGAAATATTAGATGTAATAAAGACAGAAATTTTTCCAGTTCGACGAGAGTGACCGAAAAGTTGTAAATTTTGGAAATTTCCGTGGACAACACCTGGTCCTAAAACGAATTAGTTAGAAAACAAATGACGGACAATCTATTAAGTTTAACGTATTTAGATTTTTACAGCTATGGTGAGAAACGTTTAAAATTCACAACAACCCTGTCGCGTCCTTTGAGATATACTAGTGATGCGACAAAAGAGGCATTTGACATTAACCGGTATCAGCACCCTCGGAATTTGGCATGCATGCACGCACCACACACCTAACAAGATCGTCTCTGATTCCATCCACGAGTAACTGATAGAGAGCACTTTTAACTAAGTGGATTGTTTTAATATTTAAAAAGGAAAGAATATTTTATGCTATTTTTATTTACGTTTCTTCACAAAACTATATTCATACAATTGAATATTTTGTACCAGGTATGTATAATTGTATATCGATCACACATTTTATTTTAACAAGTAACTTTTTATAATTTTATTTCTAATTTTAGCCCTTATATTATAGCTAGCAATTTAGAATGTAATTGCAAGTATTGAAAATTTATTTAAAAAAAGTTTTGGCTTAAGACCATATAATGAAAAAGAAAGCATTGTTAAAAGAGAAAGACCAATGCCTAAATTAAATATAAATACGTCGACAAAAAAAATTGTTAAACATTTTCACGATAAAATTTATGAAGATATAAAATGGCTCTGTGGATGCATAAAAATGCAAAAATTGTTTTGTTGGCCATGCCTACTATTTTCAAATAAAATTAGTGTGTGGAATGAGATTGGCTTTGACGATTTAAATAATTTTAGTAAAGCTGGCAAAAGACACGAAAATCCTAAATCTCGCATCGAATCTTTCGTAAAATTGAAGCAATTTGGAAATCAAAATAGAATAGAATTTAACATTAGTACACAATATAAAATAAATATTGAAAATTATAACGAGATAGTTACGGCTAATAGATATATTATATTTTAATTAGTATATGTTATCGAAGCGAGAATTGGCATTTAGAGGGGTAGAGAATCTATTAAATCTAATATAACAGAGTTAATTATATTGAACATGCTTATTTATTAAGTGCGTTAGATAATCTATTAATTAAAAATACATTTAGAGAAGTCTACGGTTTTTACTGGCTTATCGAACAAACGAATACGAATGGACCCTAGACCATCACTGACTGATTGCTCCTGGAAGTCGGCTTGTTACAGAAACACAGCTTCCTTATCATCAAATGTCACGGCACGCCCCTGCTTTTTTTTACAAGTTGATATGGCATGTATAATATTTCACAGTTGGGACAAAGTCGAAGTTAGATGATATAGAGTTCAAAATTTAAATTTTTCGTACTTCAAGAATATTTAACAACATAAACAGTGTAAACAGGAAGATATGGAGGTTACAATAATTGCTATACAGAACTGTGTAATAACAATGGGATTATTTTTCAAACAGAAGATAAAAATGAATTATTTTCATAAAATATCGCATTCAATGCCTCTGAAATACTGTAATTGATCATAAAAAATTAATTAATTTATAATTGATAGCATAGGATTATTGTTTTAATGGTTATGAATCTAAGACAGGAATCTAGATAGATTATAAAAGTTACAAATAAGTATATAAAACTGAAAAATGTAATGAATAATTCATACAAATAATTTATCAATACAGTATGTTTGCTTATGAATATACTGTACAGTACATACCGGATAAAAATGTGTAGACATTTATTTCATAAAAATTTATACAATTATACGAAAAATATTGGAAAATACTTAATCTGACAAAAAAAAGTAAATTATAACTAAAATAATTCTTATTATTTTAGTTAAAATAATTCTTATTATTTTAGTTATTTGTGAAAGTTATACTTTTGTATTTAAGCCACATGACAAAAGTTGGCGACATTTTCTGACAACGGTGGATGATTGCGCCATCTCACCCAGGTGACAACTAGCCTTAAATATGCTAGGCTTCATGATTACGTGATTATATATGCTATATTGTCCTACTGAAATTCAATATTGAAACGAAACATTGGTAAGCCAATGATTAAAAATAATCATTGGCTTACCAATGTTTCGTTTCAATGAATCAAAGCGATGCGCCAGAATTAAACACAATACGCGATCTTCAGATTCTTTCCAATTAGTTGTCTGAAAAAGCCGCTTAAAATGGTTTTGTTCAAACAGAGTTTGTTAATTTAGCTATTGAAACACTAATGCAGCGAAGTTTGGAGGCGCTGAAGACACATCTAAGATGGCATCTGCAAACTGCAAATTGTAACAATTTTAGACTGGGGGTAAGTCTCTCCGATGTTATATAATTTTTATAAAATCAGCTATAAGTATGTGCATTATTTTGAGTATACATTTTGATTTATATGAAAATATCGTTTACAAACAGGAAAACAGCTGCAATAAAGCCGTTTCCTTTATAAGAGTAAATCACTTAAATGACTTCCAACAGCTTAACTAAAGCAACGTTACCGGGCGACAACTTTTCTGTTTGTATTATTATTATTCTAAGCACTGTAGTATTATTTCATTAGTTGTAATCTCAAAATATTCGACTCCAAGCCAAAAATGGCCGGATGTCCGAGTGGTCGAGGTGGCAGCCTACCGCTCTGGGGCACTCGGGATCAAATCCGGACCGGTCGATAAATTCCCAGCAATATCTCGGAGGGTGGTCCGACCGAATATGTCGGCCCGTCCCTCATCACCGCTCCATTGTGGACCTGGCCAAACCCATAATGGGCTTGATAAAGAGGCCCTCTTAGTGCCCACAGGGCGAAAAGAGTTTAAAAAAAAAGACTCCAAGCCAAAAGCTGCTGTTGCGCGTCGGATCGGAAAAATTATTTTTTTGTCAAGAAATCTCTTAAAACCCTTAAAAATGGTGCGAAATGTCTGTAAATAATTTTAAATTTATTTTTTAGAGTTAATTAATAACATAATTAACGTTTCTGTCAGTTTGTTATTAAATAAATGAGATTGATAGTGTCATATAATTTTATGCGTAGATGTCGCTTTTACATAAGAAACGATCCACGAGTTTCTTAGCGGTTTATTTGATTTGAAAGTGAATATTTTATAATCGGGGATTTTGTACGTTGTAGTATGGAAACAGATAAAAACATAAGTTTAACGCAGGTATTTCTTTTGCAAGATTTTTTGATGTTGATAATCGTAGTAAGTTCATATTAAAAGCTTCATGTTACGTTTTTAAAAATATGTTGCAGCTGAAACGACAAATCGAAGCGATGAAAAGAGAAGTGGCCAAGAAAGAAAGAAAGTTAAAGGTGCGAAGGAATTTAAAGTTTTTTTTTAAATGTTAGTTTATTCGTGTAGCTTACGTTTCAGGCCATTTCTACCGGGTGTCTTATTTTTTTTTTTTTTAATTAATGAATACTTACTTGAAATGTGACGAATGGTCGTGGTTTGGGGGCAGTTCGGAGTGAAGGGCACTTTCCCTTTAAATCGAAATGGAATCTAAGGGAGGGTCTACAATTTGGGGTTCCCGACCCTCTGCACATGGTCCTAGAATCTTATAGCATAATCTCTTTGGAGAAAAAAACTAGTAAAAGTGCCCCTTCTGCCAAATCACCCAGAACCGTCACTGCTCGTTACACTTCACCTAATTACCTCCTAAGTAATTTAAAAAAAGTAGACAACTTTTCCTTAACTTTTACCAATGCCCATCTCACTTTGATACGGGGTGACAAATTCAGTGGGTCTCTGTGCCCATAAATCGGGATTGTTTTCAAATGCAGTTTGTTTATATCAGGCTATGGAGTTGTGTAAAAATCTACCGACTCCAACTCCGACTTTTCCTTACCATCCGACTCCAACTCTGACTCCGACCAAGGGAGAACTTGTTACTGAAAGAGACCCAGAAATTCTGATGTCGTCACATGACCTCAGAATAAAAGATTCAATAAATAGAGTTCTAATAAAGATAGAACGTAGAAACTTTTTATTCCAAAGCTAAAAGACTCCTCTAAGTAATGACACAGTCAATATATAAATATATATTTGATAATTTTTACTTTTCCAGCTGTTATATATAACAGAAGGAAAGTGTAGTGCTCAGTCAAAAAATGTCCCTTTCCAAATTTGTACATTTTTGGACTCAGGACACCTTGAAATTTCGAGATATGCAAAAGATTTGAGTTTTTTTTTTCTATATGTGTGTATGTTAGACTGTGTGTGTGGGGCATAATTTTGTTTACCCTGTTTGAAGCCTAATAATTTCTGTGGCCGGAGTGGTCAGAATCTGAGTCAGATGAGGACACAGGAGTTAGTTATTAAGTGTCAAAGTGGTTGAACTAAATCATGTCCCCATATACATTCCAACATCTTAGGCGAGAACATCTTAACGGGTTTTACTGTACTATTATAAAATGACATAAAAGCTTACTTTGAGGGTAGAGACGAGTTTTATTTTATTTTAAATTTTGAACGTTAATAACGAGTAAAATATTCATTAAGAGATATGACACATGACCACTTTTATGTCTTCACCCTGTCGACCTTTAATTAAGAACCAAAATTTAATAGTATTAATGCCCCTTTATATGCAAGCCACAGTGCCACATTTTGTTTCTTAAACTTTACCCATTCTGAAATATTGTTTAATATCTCAGAATGGGTAAAATTTAAGAAATTAAACAAATTAGACGCCAACACACGTGCGTGAATTTTTCCCCTTTTATTGACTTTTTTGAGGGGTTTGGGAGGTCTCCAAACATGTAGATTTGCAAACAAAAAAATCCAGAGGGTCAAATTTGGCATGATTCCAATACTTTTCCGTTTTATATACATAACAAATTGGGAAGTAAAAAGGAGTCAGAGTTTGTGGATTTTTTGACAACTCCGACTCCTGCTAAATCACCAAAACTCCATGACTCTGACTCTGACTCCACATCCCTGGTTTATATAGTAGATTTTTTCCATTGGTTTCATTATAATACAGCATTAAGAACATTCACAACTTGTACGTTTATTTTGTAATATTATGTGAGTTATTGTAGTTATGACCACAATATAACCAGTCACACAATTTGATTTGGTTGAAGTTTACCTTGGTAGACCCAATGGCTATGCTTCAGTTAGCTTAAGTGGTTTGGTTTGGTTAACTATATTTTTAGTAGACAGAAGAAAGGAATACCTAAAAAGAAAAAAAGGAAACGTCTACTAAAAATGTAGTTAACCTAACTTAACCAACTGAAGCTAACCGAACTACCAAGGTAAACTTTAATCTTTGATTTTATTTAGCGTTAAATATATGTATGCTATTTTACTTTTATTTGAAATATAATTGGTCTGCTATTCAAAAACTAAGAATTTATAATTTTAGTATCAGAATAAAATACATTGTAAGCAAACTAAAGGTACATAATATCCTTTTTTAAAAAAAACATAGGGGTGCAAGAAATTTTACAAAATGGGGCACCTAAAAAGATTGCAAACTGGACTAATAATATTGTTTTTCCCTGCTGTTGGGGATTTCTGACTAAAACTGCCTACAACAATCTTTTAGAAAGTATAAGGCTTGCTTTTCAGACCTTCTTTTAGTGGGAAAGTTTGAAAGATGGTGAATTTTTTAATATTGTGAGATAAAACAATTTTTGAGATGGTCTCAGAACTGTGAGAACACACTTTTCTCTTATAAATATAAAAGTTGATTGGCTGTCTGAAAATGTTTCTTTTTAAAAATATATTATTATTTAACAATTATGCGAAATATCTGTAAATAGATGAACCAAATTAGGTAAAGAATGAACCAAAATATAATTTAAAAATGCAAATAAAATTCTTCTAGTTTTCAAGTTTTCTACAGGACCATGTTTATTTTTATGTACTTGATTGATATATATATTCTCTGGTTACAATTTGCTAAAATATATTAATTGTACATTACTTACTGTTTAATTTTCTTTCAATTTTTTAATCGAACTTCATACAAACATATACTATGTATCCAATGCAAAAATTTCTTAAAACTCCTTAAAAACTATAAAAATTTAAATACTTTTTAAATTCATTATTCTTGACCATCCTATAAAATGATGTAAAGATAAACATTTCTATGTTCAAAACAGTATCTTCCAGTTGAACCTCTCTTGTTCTTTGATGATTGTTTCTGGGTTGTTTCTCTCTCTCTTGAGCTATTACATATTTTTCCATTTTTTTATCTAATCATATTCCTTCGTTTAAATTCATTCTTATGTTAATTTTTTGTATTTTTATATATTCTATTATTTTCCTTTTTAATGTATTTTGTTTTGGTAATGTCAATTTGTTTTTATTCTGCAACAATGGTTTTTGCAGTATTTGACTGAGTTGTTAAATTTAATCAAATAAAAGTTACTTGCAGAAATTTTTGTTGATTAAACTACAAGATAATAAAGTACAAGTTGCAGTGCAACAAAAATATTTTCAAAACAGTTTTTCTCTGTATATTTGATGCAGAAACATATAACATATTTATAATTAGCCAAAAGGCTTGATATTGCCTGGAAAATTATAATAAAGATGATGTAATTGGATAAAATTTTAATATTAAAATTTTATTCAATAAAAATGTTAATATATCTTTGAAAATGAATTCACAATTTAAAATTACAGTGGGTGATTAGTTTAACAAACAGTTCGGACTGCAAACATATTGGACAACGAACACTTTTGCGAAAGATTTTTATGTTCGGACAACAAACATACGTTCAGATAACGAAAACTTCTCAGAACAAACACAAGAAGAAGCAATGCTGAGTTTTAACATTTGTAAAATTATATTTTAATGGCATCTATGAATAGTTTATGGAATGAAACTTTCACAGTTGTATACATAACCTTTTTTGCACTAGTTAATTTCTGTTCTCTGAATTTTTTAAGTGCTTTTCTGAACTTTTTATTTAAGAAAACTGATAATATTATAGGGCCTGAAAAGAGTAGTGTGTCAAGAACTGTGTTCACTATAGAAACTAAACAAGAGATAATTGTCCAGGTAGAGAGTAAGAAGATGTCTGATGTTGCCAGGCAGTATGGCTTCAACATATTGATAGTAAGCACAATCTTAGCTATGAAAGATATAATTAAAAAGAATGAAGCAGATAAAGGCATAACGAAAATCATATCTAAGAAACAAAGAAATCCATGAAAAAATGGAGAGATTGTTTTCAGTTTGTTATTACATTAAACATAGTAAGAAAGTATATAATTTTTTATGTATTTTTTGGGGTCAACAGAACAAATTAATCAAATTACCAAACAAATCTATGAAAAATGGATAATCGGTTAACGAACAATTTAGGTAGTTAACATGGTCTTGGAATGGATTATGTTCGTTAACTAATCACCCACTGTAAATGCACAATATTCTTTGGCTGTTAAAAATAATAGTGTTTACAAATATTCCTTGATTAACATGGTTATTTAATCCCACAATATTTCTGCATTCTTCAAAATTGTCTTAATCCATTAAAGTGATCAATGGAGAAAAGTATGACTGATCTATGATCATATTAGTAAGGCTCAAAATTTTTAAATATATCCTATAAACAAAGTATATAATATGATACTCTTCTGAAGGAATATAATAATAATTGTTGGTTTAATATTTGAAGTGTGCAATGCCATAATGTTGTAAATGCCATTTTTCTCTAAATATGTTTTTATTGAAGAATTGAATACTAAATGCAATGTTTTCTGCCTCAAAAGAATATTGTGGTAATATTGGCACTGTAAGTGGTAAGTGGCTGTATTTTGAAGATGAATTTATATGAAGGTATAACGGTTAAAGTGTCAGAGTGCAAGTCACGTGACTTTTGGTGCTTAAAATGTTTTGGCTTATATTTACATCATTTTGATATTGCAGAGAATGTGTAACCTAGAGAGTTTTTTACCATTTTATTGTAAAATTGAAATGAATTCATTCTTTATAAAAAGTGTTTTTTACCTCTCCTGAAAAGTTTTTTTTTAGCATTTACAACATTATGGCATTGCACACTTCATTTATTGAACAAGTTCAGCACAGTGTTTTTTGACAGAAAAATTTATATATAGTAAACTGAACAATTTTAACTCTTTTCATCAAATTTTTCTGATAATAAATTTGATTCTCCAGATTATAATGAAAGTGTAAGCTTCTATTAAGATTAGGGTCAATATCCATTAATTGTTGTTTGAACAATTCTACAATATTAAACAAGTTTTCAAATTTCTTTACTTTGGAACATTTTGTCTTCATCACATTTTATTGCTTCTTTGTATTATATGTGGTGTTTAATTTCCTGAAGAATATCATAACTCAAGTCTTTTGATTGTGATTACAATAACTCACAAACATTTTTTTGTATCAATGTTTTCAAAACCAAGATCTTTACTCCATTTTATCCAGCAACCATTTCTTCTATAACACTGCTTACAGAATGTTTAATGTGCTAAAATCACCAATTCATTTTTGCAAAAGTTTCTTCCAAATATATCTCATGCAGCTGCAGGTTTTCTTCCCACAAATCATGAATGTTTTCTAGTGAGTGTTTAGTATTGAATTTTTCTAAATTTCTTGAATAGCAACAATAGCATCTTCTTTCATTATAGCTTCAATTGCTTGTGAAAAAGTTATAATAAAATAAGCATTAAAAATTGCAATGGTACCATGGTCTGTATATGATAATAATGAAGTTGTATTTGATGGTAAAATGAGACAATCTAATATTATTTATTAAGTCATTAACTGTATTAAGATGGCCAGAGGTATTACTAAGTAACAAAAGACTTTGGAAAGATAAATTAGATTTATAATATGTTTCAACTGCCAGACAAAAATAAATCTTTAAACATGGATTGGGTGACACATTCCTTTTTATTTGATCACCAAATAACTGGTGGAGATTGTTTATTGCACTATCTTAAAGTGCAGTTCTAGGTTCAATAAAAAGCTAACAGTTTTAATTTAAAGTCCCCTTCAACATCACCTCATCACCTTCACATAAAACTTATGTAATTTTTGAGTGCTTTATAGAAAGGTTGTAATTTTTCACTTCTTCCTAAAAAGTTGATGGAATTTTCCACCAATAAAGGCCAGTTTTGTGCACGTTAAAGATTTCATGATTATCATAGTTATTTTCTGTAATTTAGCAAGAAATGTGAATGCTGTATCTACATCTGCATTTGTACCTTTTCCTGTTGTTTTAACTTTTTTCATAACTAGCTCATTGGGCTGCAATTTGAAAAAATTGTAGATCTATAAATTCCCACTGTCTGTCTGTTCTTCCTTAATCTTGAGAACAGAACTAGATACTTGAAAATCAAAACCAGATATAGAAAGTTTATGGGCAGGAGGCCCTGACTAACTACATACCGATATAAACTTCTGATGCAAACTGGAAGTCACGTTATTTCAATTCAAAACTTTTCTTCTGAAAGGAGTTAGATTAGATAACTGGAACAACTCCATTGTTATCAGAAAAGTATGATGTACAGGGGCAAGACACTACAGTACTAATTTGAGGTGGAGAGCATTGCATCCCAGCATTGTGATGATGTCATAATAAATAATTACTCCTTCCTGCTCTAGACATAGTTTATAAACATTTTTTGCCTGCTATAAATGTTAGAGTATTTTCTTTCCATTTTGTTTCTTTTAGTCATGAAAACAAGGTAAGAGCCTTGATCTTGATACCAGTTGGAATTTGCTTTTGATTATTCTTCTAACCAAAAAGTTAAAATGTCTTCCAAAATAGTGCCAAAATAATGTGTACCATTGACTCATTGCAGCCTGGTTCTCTTCTAATCTTAGCTTTACTTTCACTGTGTTTGAATATTTAATCATTTCCAGTTTAATGTCTAAAGTACCAGTAATCATTTTCACTTTCTACTGTAACAGCATGAAAATGATCTTAAGTATGATGATGACAATAGATAAATATTTGTATATAAAAATCTAATGAAAAAACAAGGAGTTTGTTATTTGTAACATAAGCAACACATTTGTTTTTGTTTTCAATGTTAGCTATACAAGAACTAAATGTTTTAATGATCTCATGATTAGTGGAAAGTAGCTGAAAACCATAATAAGACCTGCATTAATTAATAAAAACTGTGTTAATCAAGGGAAACCTGTATAAATATCATATTGGTTAGATGACACTGACTGAAATTTGTTGCAATGAACGTCTTGAAAAATAGTTACATTTTTACTGATTGCTGGCACTTGGATATAAACTTTTATTTTTAATTCACAACAAGAATTTCATTATTAAAGTAAAACTTTCAGGATAACATTGAATAAAATTTTTAAACTGCATTTTTGATGGAAAAATGCAATATTTCTTCCATTTCCCATAGTTATTAACTTCTTATTACCTCTTAGTAGGATTTTAACTTCAGTAATGTAGTTCATAACATGACAAAGATCAAAATGCAGTTTTTCATTGTAAATATTTTCACAAACAAACTAAAACTATAATAAAAACACAAGAACACTATATTTTGCAAAAGAAAACACTCCGAAAAAATCAACAACTTACTGAGTATGGTATGGATGAGTACACTATAAATAAACAATCACATGGCTGAGGGTAAAGCCCTTCAGGACCTGGCTCGTACTTAGATTATAAAAATATTGTTATATTGAGGGTTAAGTACTACACTTATCACTTTAAACTCTGATCTTACCTTCTTTATAATAATAAAATAAAATCTAGAAAATAGCTAAATTCGAAATGAAACCGTTTAGATTTATATCACTTATCTAATTACTTAAATCTCAAATCTAGGGGCAAACAAAATAAACTACGTTTATATGAGAAAATTAGATTCTAAAGTGACAATCTGCCCAACACGTGGTACAGACTTCAATGTTTTGACTTAAAGTAAAATGGCGGTCGATAGTAGCCGTCGTTGCCACCGAGAGCGCTGTAACCATGGTCACAGCCACTCTATGTAGTATATTCTAGCTCGTTGGTTTTCTCCTACACGTTACTAATCATGTGGCAACTGCTGATAAAGATGACATGACACAAAGAAAGGGGGAAAAATGATGTGTACACCTTGTGTAGTACACCTCACAGCATTTCCATTTCCTTTGTTATTGGTTTAGTCATTCTCCTTATCCTGAGTTGTCTTGATCTCAGGACGGAGAGAATTTTTGACAATGAAAAAATGTTTCAAAGATTCGACCAATCAGAAATTAGCGAGTATTTTTCGTTTTAGATCAAAATTATTGAAATTTTATTACAGAAACAGTTTTTAAAGTTATTTTTGTCAGTTAAATCATATTTACGTTTATCTTTGTTTTTAAAGAGAAAAAATGCATTAGAATTCTTGGAATTAACAAAATTTCGGAGGTGCCCGTTAGCAGATATAAAGCATTAAAGAGCTATTAGGACCATTTTAAGCGACGCAAACACAAAGCTAATTTCAGACTTGACAGGCAATTAAAACAATCTATTGTGAACTTTTAAAAGAACACATTACGTGCAATATTGAATACTTATCGATACGATGTTAAAAGAATAAAAAAGAACTAAAATAATACCGTAAGAATTAATTCAATTCGTATTTAATAGTAATTAAGTTAGAGGATAAAGATTTTTCGCGTAGTTTTTAAAACAGGATTTACACCAGAATATTTGTAATAAAAATATATAGGATATATATAAATCAAAACGGTCACTTTTTTTGTTTTAGAAATTGGAGAAAGCAGCACAGTCCAGATGGCAAAATAAAGATACGAGGGAAGAAAATGTGAGTATTGCTTCCGAAGCCGTGTTACAAAAGCAAAACTTAAAAGAATCAGAAGGAAAAAATTCGACCTTAAATAAGAAATGTGACGGTATCTGCCATCTTCGGATTACAGATGAAGATTGTGAATCGAGGTCTTTAGTTTTAAAAGAAGTCGAAGACACCGATAAATACTATACGGAATCGGAATATGATGTAAAAAATAATAATAAATTCAAGAAAGGTATTACAAATTTTTCTAAAGAGCAGGCTAAGCCCGAAGATATCAGAAATATTGATTCTAACTACCAGAATTCAAATTATTATTATTTAAAAACGGTTACATCGGAAAAACGGTCTTCTCTTTCATCAGCTTCTTCGACGAATGTCTCGGATTATGAGAACAATTCCGTTGACAGTTCTAGCGTGTTACGACGATCTGTTCGATTGGCAAAGCGAAACAAATATTTAAGTAGAAACGTAGGTCCGACGCCCCCGAAAGAAAACGAAAATAACGTAGAAGAAAACTTGAAAATAAAAACGATTTTTTCCTTTCTAGTTGCCGAAGTTAAACGGATGAACGTCAATGACTTTGTTTTATCCGATGAAGAATTTTCAGTTAAAAGTAACAATTTCAAAGAATTTACCGATGGTGTTAAAGAAACTGTTCCAATAACCTCGAACGAAAGGATATCGGGAACGGAAACAGAAATATCGAATAATAGTGCAGAATTACATACGAAAGAAATTAAATGCGCAAGTCAATTAGAAGATAAAGAAAACGCGTCGACAAATTTATCGCATTGTCTGAAAGTAAGTATACCAATAATAATCATGTACAAAAGATGCAATTATTTTAGATAATTCTTCGAATTCTAGACGGAAAACAACGAACGCATTGAGAAAATACATCATTGCCAAATATCGGAAAGTAAGAACGAAGTAATCGTTATCCAACAGATCACCACTTGCTCGTTTTGGACCAAAGACGGATCGAGTTGGGCATTAAATTGCACATACTGCGTCGAAAAAGTAACTTTTTTTACCAGCTTTATTAAACTCATTTTACGTATTTAAACAGTTATTCGCATTATTGTTCGTTTCAGAATACTTGTTTATTAAGTTCCTGTCTCCTATGCAAAAATTCTGTTTATTTGGTTGTGGCCGAAGAACGAAACTGTGGATTAGAACTGAGCGTTTTGCGTTATATTTGGGAAAATGGAAACCTGAGTAAATTGTTCTCGCAATCAAATATAATAGAAAGGTAGACTTAGTTTCGTGCTTTTTTAAAAAAAATAATAAACTAGTAGACTTTAAAATTAAATACGATGTTTCGTTGCTTGTATATTAGCTTTAATCTTGAAGGTTAAATAATCGATATAGTTTTCTTTTGCTTTACATTTCTTTCGACTTAAAAATATATACGAAGAACGAAGCCATGCTGTTATCATGAGAGTATGGTCCCATTAATAGTATGGTTAACGTGCCCATTTTAAAGACGAAAGTTTAAACAAGTATTGGGCCAAAAAGACTGACATACAAAACTTAAGAATGAAATTATAATATATATTATATATTTCAATTTTACGATAATAAATGTTAAAAAATAGTGCAATTAATTAATATTGTAATATTAACGAGTTCGTAAATCATTATGGATGTACAATATGCTTGATCTAGGTCTAAAACGAATGTGTATTTTCGAACATATGCATTAAATTTTAGAATAAATTTAGGTTAAAATTTTTTAGTTCTATACATCCCAGGGAAGATGGAGATTGGAAATTTTTTGGTTTCTATACATGGAGATTGGAACTGGTGACTAGAGTGAAGGTCATTACGAAAGATTTGGCTGGCTCAAAAATTTTTCAGCGCGTAAAGGGAAAAAACTTGGTTTCTTTGATTTTTGTGCTCAGTTTTGGCAGAAACTTGAAAAGATATTATTACGTTTTGTATTTCCGTCCTGATTTATCCTTGCCAGATGTCAAATACAATTTATCTGTTCCTGGCCAAATTCTATTTCGGTTTTTAATGTGGCCGGAAATTATTGCTCTGCTTTCCAGATATATTGCCATGCTTTAAAGAAGGACGTATTATTGCGAAAACGTTGACTATTTCATCATTATTTATACGAACGCAAAGACAGTTCGAGATTACGAGGTGGAATTCGAGCAAGCAAGCGTCTAAAAGAACATTTTCAGTGAAATTTCGCTTAGACACGCGATTGTGCTTTTAGTTGAATTGTTGATTATTTTCTGCTTTTACTAGTAGTAGTACTATTTTTAACTTTTTAAAATGTATTGGTATATGTATTATTTAAATCTTTGATTGATTATGGAGAAAATTTGTAATAATAAGCAAGTTACAAATTTAAATTAATAAAGAGAAAAATGGTAAAAGTAGAGATGAAATACTTTATCAGAAACGGTAAATGAATTTAATCTTAATTTTACGTATGCATATGGTATACATAATTATCAATATATGATATAGCTTAGACTGGTGCAGTCAAAGAAATTGTTAACCGTCAACGACACAGTAATTGCTATATCGATATTAGTTAACAGTATTAGCCCACATTCGATATTTCGTTTTTGGTGGTAAACTCTATTCATTGGTTCCTGTATCGGTGAAGTTCTTATTGTTATCATATTGGCTGTTGGATTGCAATATTCTTCCAACACAACAAAATAGTCTCTAACTGTATGACGGCATGCAATGCTTGTATTGTACAATGGGCGTATTTAAAATCTCAGCATCAATCCAATGAGATGTGCCAGAATTGACACAAACGCTGACTGCCGGGAATTTCGGGAGAGAAAAACAAGAAAAATGGCGAATGATGTGGACTTCCACGTTACGTTAAATTTATTTTTGAAATTATGTAATGAGAACAACTTAATGAAAATGCGGCGATTTTGGTAATTGGCAAGCGTTTCTTCTGTTATATGGTGTTGGAAATCGCTATGTCTAAAACGGACAGAACTGAAAAAGGTCGAAGGTTACAGACATTTGGTGGCGCTTTAATTCGTCTTCCTTACAGTGGATAGATATACAGTAGAGCGTCGTTTATCCGAAAGCTGGTTATCAGAAAGCATTCCAGTCGGCAAATTTAAATTTTCGCTAGTGCTGTGGCGCTGCAATCTTCGGCTATTTCTCGGGCTACTCAAATATTTTACGTTTTTGATACTAAATTAACATCTGAAGTAAAATTTTTTATTGTTTTTATATTTTTCAATAAATTTATTTTGTTTGTACAAAATAAAAAAATAATTTTTAACGATACATTTGTCTTCGTTAGGCTTAACATCGACGAAAATTCAACGCGAAGCGACACGCAACGGAGAGAAATTTCAACATGGGATAAATTAATATATTTTTTTGTACATGATTCGTAATCCGAAAAATAAGTTATCCGAACCACCCCAGTCCCCAATTGATTCGGATAAACGACGCTCTACCGTATATTATAGTCATGACTGTTTCTGATTGGCTGCGCCATATTACTTTTAGTTTTGTACTGTGTGCGTGTGTTGGAATTCATTCACTAACTCATTTTGCGCATTAATTAATGACAAATTGCTATTGAAACAGTTAATTATAAAACATTTCTTGCATTATTTGCAACATCTATTGCACGAATATAAGCTATCACAAATGTTTAACATGAATTAAATTATATTTTCTAAATATGCTTTGCTTTCTGCCATCCTTTGTTGCGGATTTTGTTTTTAACTATTTAGTATATAACATTGCTTTAGTTGTATGTACAATATTGAAAATGTGTAAAATGTTTGAGCTTAGAGAAAACAAGGATCATGATGTATCGCAACTTTTAAATATAACTTCAGAAAAGTTATAACTAAAAGTTGTGATTCATCATGACATTTGTTTTCTTAACTAATTAATCATAGAATCGTTTAGTGGCAGAATGTAGTGTAACAACCAGATATTCATTCCATTCCTTCACTTTAAATATACTTGAATTGAATGGCTGTCTTGAAAAACATGACCTCCTTCATTGAAATTATTTTCAAAAAAGAAAGGTAAATGCATTTACATTGCTTATGCTTTCATCCTGAATTATTTGTGTAACAGCCGATTATGGAGCAGCATGCATTGATTTTTAAGGGACAAAAATAATGTAAAATTATTATTTAGTACCACCATTTGGCTCTGTAACATTCAATATTGTCAATTTAATGTTAAGAAAATTACTTATTTTAAATTTTGTCTATAGAAAAGAAAAATTTAAAATTATATTACACACAGAAAATAATCAATAATTTTTAAGTTTCATTTTAGTTACAGACTAATAGAAACAGTATTTCAAGTACTAAAAATTAGAGATCCATTAGAAAAGTGGACATTAATACATATCTAAAATTGCAACTTTGCACTTACCTTGTTTTTTTCAGATTGTAATAAAATAAAATTGATGGGTTGTTTTGAAATTATTCTAAAATGTTCTATCATTATAGAAATATTCAAGAATCTACCGTTGTTCTATGCAAGATAGAGAAGTTAAAATGTGCAGTAATGCTATCAAACAACGTATCGACTATATTTATTTTAAATGTACGTGAGAATGACGATTGTTCTTTGAGTAGTCTTGACTCTCGTGTGGAAATTAGCCTGACGTCACTTCTTCCAATAAAAAAATTACCCGAAATGTTATTGGGGTGTGGACCGAACTACTGTTATGTTTGGTAAGAAATATTTGTTTTTGGTGTATATATGTTAATTTACTAAAATAAATTAATTTTAGGAACTACGTAAGTGGTAAAATGATATTCAAAATAAAGGCAAGTAAAGATACGATTATAGATAAATGTTTATGGGCTCAAGCTGAAAAGGTAATTTTATAAAATTGATTAGATTATTTTGCTGTCTTCTTAATTAGTTTTAATATTTTCTACTATACAATTTTAAAACTAATTTCAGGGATTTCTTTTTTTAATAATTTCAACTAATGCTAATATTAGTCTGGTTGTAATAAACCCAAATACTTCGAAACAAGCTATTCTGAAAACATACAGTCGATGCACACAAGATAGGTAAGCATAACATAAATTCATTTTCAATTTGAAAAATATTTAATGGCATCAATTTTTTTAATAGATTAATTTCAGCAAAAGATAATCATGTTATTTTGTTTGACAAGAATACAATTTCCATATATAACATATTCACTGCAAAAAGGATAGCATTTTCAACTATCAGAGAGGTGACAGTGGCAGAAATAATTAACAACAAAGTTCTGCTCTTGGGATTCGAAAATGGATGTACTCATCTATACAATTTAACAAAAAATCAAATCGGTAAAACAGAGCTGTAAAATAAATTTATTGCAATTCTTCTAATTGGCCTCTTGATATTTGAGTTGATTCAGAAGTTTGTCGAACATTATCTGCAAAGAGTTAAGGAAAGATATCGTGCAACTTTTTGTTGTATATAGTAATTTATTTTCCTGTTGAAAATTAAACTGAATACAAAAAATTTTCAAAGTTTTTAATTAAAGGAATGTGCTGCACAATTGATATTTAATCATGTCTCGTAGAACATTTTTGTAATTATGTTCCCTCACAATTTCATTAATAAAATAGGTTTATTTTGAATTAACTAAATACGACTTGTTAAATTATAACAAATAACCCTTTGATCTAATTTCATGGATTACAAAATAGACTTAATCCTCGAGAGTGACGTTGCGAAACAAATAAGACATCGATTCTTTATTATGGATACGGCGAATGGCTTCCGAGATGAGGATGCTAATATCCACCGTTTTTATTTTGTGGCACTGCATTTTCTGAACTTCATGGGGGACGGTATTAGTTACGACCACCTACAAAACAAAAACAATTAGAAATGAAAATATTCTAAACACTTTAAATTCTAACTGCTTACCTCATCGATGGGAGAATCCTCGATGAGTCGAGGGGCGTCAGACGAAAGAAGTCCATGAGTAGCGAGTATGTATATTTTGTAGGCACCCCTTTCTTTTAATACTTCGGCAGCAGCTACGAAAGATTGAACGTCGTCTATCATATCATCCTGAAATAATTCAAAATTTCACATTTATTATTTTGATTCGTTTAGAGAGAATTTCTGTATGCCAATCAAACAGTTTTAAAAATCTGGCAAGGGCTCTTGTTCCACTTTCCCAGTACTCAAATAGGAGAATGAGGGAAGCATGATAATTCTCTATTATACTATGGTATATTCTTTATGCTAATCATATAAAATTAAAAGAAAACATATTACATTTTAATGTTTTAAAACGAAACTTCAATTTGAAACATGTCTTAAGTTGTTCATTTTAAATTTCATAAATACATGATATATAAAAATAAATCTTTCATTCTGTTCTCATGATCACAGAAATAATATAGCAAAGGGCAATTTCCTATGGTACAATAGTACAATTTAAAGGAACCTTTAGAATATGGTAGTACTCTTGCCTGGATACATGCAGCAATATATTACTGCATGTATCCAGGCAATTGCTGTGCCAATTTATTTACAGATGTTGCTCCATATCCCTCACACACACAGATAGCCAAAGCTAGCATTCCAACTGGTCTCAAAAATGCTTTATGGGTGACAAATTGGGACCTAATCAGATAAAGAAAGTGTGGCAATATGTTGAAGACATTCCCAGGAAACCCAAGTTGTATGTGTGTAATCATTATCTTGCTGGAAATTGACTGTTTGCATTTCTGACATAAAAGGCAACATGATAGCGTAGAATTTCCTGAATGTATCGCTGTGTTATCAATGCCCCTCATACCTTATGATACAGCTCTTCAAACCAGCATGCTTTATCCTGCTGAGTGAATGCTCACCAGTGATCATCTGTTCCCAAACAATATTGTATCATCATTTTTAGTGGTGAATTCCAATGTTAGTCTGTAGCAGTTCATGCTTCTATCATAGCATTACTGCAAATGAAGCTGGGATGCTAATGGCAGGATATACAGTAGTCAGTGATTGTTCTTGCAAAGTTTCTTCTAATCATCTGCCAATGAGACAAGGTTTTGTAGCAATACTTTCACCTGTGTCTAGATGGTAGATAAAGATGCCACTGCAACTGTTGTGCTTGTCTCACAATCAGAGAATCTTCTCACCTAGTAATCTGTGTATGTGTGTCCAGAGTCTGCTCACCATATCTGTATGCTCTCATGTATTCACTGACACCAATGCTGTCTCAGTCAGGTCAGAATGGCAGTCATTCTGTTTTCCATAGCTCTATGATGTGATCTTTCTCAAACTCCATCAGCTGTGTGTAACTGTGTTGCACTAGCATTCGAAACATATACACTGAAAATTCTAAACGCAAACATCTGAGTCTTTTTACAGGATATTGGGTAGCAATTTTAAGGCATGCTGGTAACAGGGACAGTAAATCACTACCAATGGGCTGGCAATCATTATATGACAATCCCCTAGGAAGAAAGAAGCTTGAAAATCAGCAAGATGAAGAGGCCTAGCTCATGCATTCTGGTACCACCTAAAAGAAAATAAGAAAACATTCCAAAAATAGAATCCATAATGAATTTTAAAAATTAAAACATCAACATTCTAATTAGAAGATAATCTGAAGGCTTCTCAAGAAAGCTAAAAATGTTCAGAAAAACCATTCCAATCTGCTGGAAAAAGCAAGTAAGGTGTCTATTCTGTTTATATTTCTGGTTCCAGTTTGGATCTCATTATTATACAAATCTGTATGCTGAATTTTGCAATAATTAGACAATTTTATGTTGGTTGTACAACTTTTTATTGATGAGTGTCTGTTCAAAACCTTATTATATGGGTCAAAATGACCCAGGATTTGCATTATTAATCAAAATTATCTCACATATGAGATGTCTTAATATAGTAGAATCTTGTTTTAGTGGATTGCTTGGGCCTCCAAGAATCCATTAAGAATTGCAATCAACAGATTTTCTGCACACCAAAGAAAATATCTGCTATCCAAAAAACTTTATAAGAAATAGCTATACTTGAAATTATTTAGTCTCTTGGGACCTCTATCCTTTATTCCAGTGTTTTGCAATTTGGATTAGCAACACAATTTGAATTTAATAAGATTCCTGGGACATACCAAGATTTTTAAAATCAACCACAAAAATTATGGCAAGTTTAACTTCCATATTACCAAGATAAAAACTCACAATTTTACAAATATACTATAAAAATAAAGACTGAATCAATGCATAAAGAGCCAGTATTGATCTTTAAGCTGGTAAGCCACATTTTTAGAAGCTACAAAGAGTTTGTATGCATACACATGATAGATGCATGTAAATTTTGCAACATACATTTTAGTCAATGCCTCCTCCTTTCAGTCAGCCAGGGATAAAAAGATGAAAGATAAATTAAATTTTAAAAAAGAACTCAGTAATGATAAATATTTTTTAGAATTTTGTCACACACAGTTTGGGAAATACATGTTACAAGACTGTCATACATTCGTATGGCACAATGTACTGTACATGTACAAAGCTGATGAAAACTGTCTAGCACAGACGCAAAGTATGATGTGGCTGATGACTTTTTTGGCAACTTGTATTCATTAAGAGAACCTGTAAACAACCATAAATTCTAGCAGAAACTTTCATCAGGCTACGTTACTTCAATTAAACAAAACAAATCCAATCAATTTTGAATATCAAACTATTAATAACACTTGAAAACTTTTTGACAAAACAGCATAGCATTAATGCAACTTATCTTAAAATATCTTTAGTGAAACATCTTTTTTTGTAAGTTATACTGCACTGTGGCTTTACTATATGTTAAAATAAGCAGACTAGGATGTTTATCAGTGGTATTATATTTTTATTAAAGTGGCAATTTTAGCACTATGCAGCACAACCCCTGGAATTATATGTCACTTTATTATTATATTATATGTATATTTAACCAATGTTGGTTAAATGACATATAATTCCAGGGGTTGTGCTGTCATTTAAGTTGGTTTCACATTATTCTTCATTTCACTTAATGTTGCAATTTCCAAGGACCTGCTGTATATTTTGCAATATACAGTGAATCAAACAGGATAATGTATTAATAAACAAAGTGTGTTGAAATACAGAGTGCAGGGTAAAATACATTGTACAGTGAATGCAAGCTGTTTGCAGTTATATTTATTCAAGTACTGTACTGTACAGTACTAAACGAAATTGTTTAATATCCATATACAGAATCCAATATATTATGAAAAGATAGTAAAGGCTTTATTTAAATACTGTATAGTCAAACATTGGTTTATGAACTTAATTCATTCCTAAAAGTTGTTTGGAAACTGATTTGTTCTCAAACCAAAACAAAATTTCCCAAATGAAATACAGTGGTACCTCAGGTTACGAATGCCCCAGCATACGAAATTTTCAGGATATGACATGAAATTCGAACATAATTTTGCTCCACGATACGAACAAAAACTCACCATATGACGTTACATTAGTTCGCATTTTTCATTTGTTTTTCTTACTACAGTTATTTTTTT